CCCCCCCCCCCCCCCCCACAAGTGCAAGGAAAGAAGAAGTCCACCGGGATGGTACAGCTTTGAAGGCCTTTTTGGCGATATGCTAAGGCCGATCCTGCTCACAAGAAGAGGCAGCATCCGTGAGAAAACTCGAGCAGCCTAGCTAAAGCCAAAAGGGCCTAGAGTTTTGGTCCTGGCGAGGTCTTGCGGCCGCCCCAAGCAACTTGGCCTCTTGAGCGCTTCAAGGCCTCAGAACTTTAGGAAGATCTTTCCAGCTTTGACTCTTTGCGAAGCCTCATCTGCGACGCCTTAGCATAACAGCCCCGACAAGGAGTGGGCGCGCGCGGGCAGGAAGCACATCTGGAGCTCGGCACTTCGTGCTTTGGAACTCACTCGCTTCGGGTTGCCGGTTCCGCTGGTTTCGGACAAAGCCTGCGGCAGCCTCGTGAAATTTCAGCACCAACCCTGCTCCTAAGTGAACGCTTCAACGGCAAAAGTTGCACAGCAAGTTCAACAGTGCCAGACTCACCCTGAGCACCCCGTTCAAGACCAGGCTTCGATCCGGCGAAGGAGGCCAAACTCCCCTCAAACCCGGAAGCCGAAGCCGCGCAGCAGCGTGGGACGCCTCCAGGATTGCCTCAACCATTCTCGATACATCAGACGTGCACCAAAGGAGTCAAGGCTTCATGCGGGCTTCGCGATCCTCGCAACTGTAAGTTGCGGGCAAGATGCTGGTCATGTGACCATCACATGTTGCTGGTCACAAGCTTGCCATTCGATCACCAAGTGCGGCGTGGTGTCACCCGTCTCAAGCACACCTGCTTGCCGTATGCCGGTTCGCTCCTAAGCTTTTTTCCGGCTCTTCCGTATACAACATCACCCGACCCCCGAGCAGACCGGAATCAGGATCTTAAGATCACCGCACCCTACATCCTGTCCACATTACAGCATGAAGCCCTATGGCTCTACGAATCCCTCTGCCCTATCCATATGCATCGTCGGCGCAGGTCACAGGAGTGTCGACCAGAGAC